AATTGAGGCAGACAAGTTAACAAAAAGAAGCACCTCTGGTTAAAATAAAACTGCTACAGGCAGGACACTGATGGATTATTGATGAAAAAAAAAATAGAAAAGATCTCAGCACTAACATACTGAAACATACTTCAGAAAATGGCTAGCAGATGTTGCAGATGTAAAAAAAAGTGTTTGTTTTCTCCTCTCCTTGTGAAATCTAACCAGATCTTTTGGTTTGGTTAGTTTCAAATGTGTGTATCCTCTCTGGAAAATGTAGCAGGTATCCATGAACTGTAAATACCAAACTTAAACACCTTTAGGAGCACACAGACATAAGGTCTTCGTGTTTACCCTACAGAAAAAAACACTCTTTAGAGCCTTTTCTCCCCATGATGGGAAAGAAAACCCGAACACATTACTAAAGAATTGCATAAAAAATTGGAAAGTTACAAATATTATACAGACTCCTTGCCTCTTGAAACTTGCGTTATATAGGACTTTCTGAAAGCACTTTTTAGAACATCAAAGTTTAAAACAAAAAAGTTAAAATTAAACCAGAATGTCTGTAACCTAGAACTTACCAAGTGTGATATTTTTAACTGCATATTTAAAAATACGCTTCTAAGTAATAAGAGCCATCATGGAGTGATTCATAGCTTCATGCAAAAACATCCCACAATATAAATCTTGTTAACCTTTTGAAAATCCCCAAAAGCTCATTACAAAGCTGATGAATCCTGGTGTAACAAAACCTCGTATTAAAGTATTTATTGTCCTTCTAAAAAGTCCTTTACTTAAAAGAAATAATACACTTGAGTTACTCGGATTTTATCATGGTCTGGCAGACAAGAAGTGTCAGACAGTGACATATGTCAAATTAAATTACCCTAGGAAGATCATAATAGAAATTTAGGACAAATAATTTCTCAGCTGATGTTACACAATTAACTATCTTCCATCTCAATTAATGGCAAGTTTACAGGGTAATGAGCAATATAGTGAAAAGACTCATGAAGAAAAGGTGGTACCTTTCCTATCCTATTACTTTTACTAGTTCTTGGAAACTACATGCAACACCCTTAGAGACACTGCTTTTCCAGTGACTGACCTGTTACAAGAAATGCTGCATATTAAATCCTACTTACTGAAAATATGCATTTATGACATTTACACTCCCTAATGTAAGCACTTAATTTTATTATAATTCCTATCTTGATCTAACTTTACAGTCATTACCAAACAGAACAGTGTGAATATTTGAGAGCAGAAGCACAATGTCTGAGTCAATTATGAAACTCCAAGTAAAAGCAGAGTAAAATCCTGGCCTTGCTGAAGTCAGTTGGTGCAGACTCACTGACACTGCTATGGCATTCTTTAAAGTCAATCTTCATCAGCCATGAAGATGAAACTAATGAGATTTTACTGCTTTTTACAAATACTATTTTCTGGTGTTTACAACCCATGCTTGAATTCCTTCTTCAGTTCTCACTCCAGTAAATTAAGTAAGACAGAAATCTGTCTCAGAACTTGTCCTGCATTCTGGGAGAAAATGTACAGAAGGCAGCCGTCAGTGGTACATTATTGCCAGTGAATAATGACTATTGCCAGTGAACAGTGATGCTAAAACCAGAAGCTTCACTATAGTATTTAAGCAGCATGGATTTTTTCATGAACTATGTTACATACTTATTTAAAAGTATTATCTTCTCAATGAGAAAATAATAGTTTCCAACTTTTTTTTTTCTATTCTATTGTACAAATATATGGCAGACTTGTAGTTATTGCTAAGATAGTACTGATTTTTAAAATACTTATGACTTCTTTCCCTAGGTATTAACTCTGTGGTCAGTAATTGCTAGTGCCAGCTGTGAAGCTGTTTTTAACTATGGAGGAAGCATCCAAGCAGTCATTTTCCACTTGTTTCTATTTAAAAAAACCCCAAACAAACATATTTTACTTACATTCCCTAAACACATTTTTGATGTATTTACTTAAAGCATCGGATCTGCTCTAGCTTTCATCAGAAAAGAAAACGAACTTCTACAAAAAATGAGGTTTCAAAACAGGAAAGCTGAACTTTCAGATTTGCTTTGTCATATTTACATATGTAATCATCCATCTTAAAACTATTCTTTTTAGAGATGTACCCATCTTCACTTTATGAGAACAGAATGTGTCTGTCAGACTTAGTACTCAACTGCAAGACATATTATGTCCAGCTCTCCTCTCCAGAAGCATCCCTTTATCTCAGTGTTAGGTCATCATCTGAGTTATGTCTGCAAAAAACTGGTTAGGCAAGTTCTGACACTCAGAACTAGCAGCTGCAAAAATACACGGACAGAAACTGACAAAAACACTGACAGTGTTTACAAAACCTGTAGGTCCAGCTTTTTCTTTGTCAGCTTCTAATTTCATGAAGTGCCCACTGTTAGGTGTTCCTTAACACTATTGCTGCGTGAACTCTAGTTTGACTGCATATGAAGAAAAGAGTAGTTTGGACTTCATTAACCCAATTTTTGCCTTTACCTTTTTGCATTAAAAAATTGTACCTGATGCATTAATTTAGCTGTTTATTTTTTATTTTATTCAAATTTTAAGTAATGGCTTCTACACCTCTGACGTCCTTCCATGTTACCTGTAACTTTGAAGTAACCCAAAATAGTTTTGGAAAACTTGCACTCTATTAAAAGCCATAAGCACACACAATTACAGAAAGTGTGCCATAGAATAATCATACCAGTAGGTGGTTTTAAAGCTGAGATGTCAAAATAGTCAAAATATTTTTCCTGCGGCAACTGCAAAATGTAGTAAAGCCCAGCTTTACTACCTAAGGCCAAATTCTACAATCTCCTGTCAGAAAAACTCTAGACCTCACCAAAAACTGGAGGCTTTTGGGCAGTGCCTACAAGAGGAAAATTTTAATGCAGTAAAAATGTAACATATGGGCAGAGAAATTATCTATCAGAAAGTCAGAATAATACAGCTTATTATTTTAGGCAACTGGTTTGGTTTTGGATTAGATTCTGCTTTCATATTCCAGTGACTCAGTAACAGAATCTAAGTTTCATTTTCATTCATTAGGAAAGGACTCCTGTCTGGCTCTAGATGGTGGCTTTTATAGAGCTTGAAAGATTTATATTTCATCCATGCTTCTTTTCGCATTCACACTCATGTAGGGAATTTCAATCTGATAATGAGAAACAGAAAACATGAACTGTTCATAATGAAAAGTGCTGGACATCTACAGCTGTACCAACAGTCATCCTCTGCAATGGACCTCTTTTTTCAGCCTGGTGATTATTTTCTTTGCACATATTTCTTCTGCCCACTTCATTTTTTGTAAATTTTTTTTTTTCTTTTCATTAAAAAAGAAGGAAGAAAAATGTAGCCCTTCCAATTAGGCTTTTTGTTTCACTCAGCTTAGCTGCCCTGCCAGGGAGAAGTCCAGGCAGACAGGTCTGGTTAAATCACTAGCGGGAATTACCCATAAAAGCCCCCTCCATAGGAAGATACACCCAAACAGATAAGGTCAGGACAAAGTGGATACACTGCATTTCCTCCCCCATCATTTGCCATTACACAGCACAAGCTACTAATTGCTCCCTGAAGCCCTGTAGCTAAAGGTCAAAAAACACAGTTTAACATGAGACAGAATAGAAAGCTGGAAAGACTGAGTTACATGTCAATGCTTTAAATTTATTCCAAACCAGGTATTTGTTAAACAGAATTATCATGTCTAGAATGCCTGCAGAAGAATGCACTCTAGTGGGCGCTGCTAATGTGGCCTAAGGATACTAACACCTTCCTGATCCTCATGTGACAGTGATACTAATACAGAGCCTGACACACCATCTGAGGGTCAGATATTCCACTTCATTTTGCAAAAAGCCTCAGTGCCCTCTGCCTCCACTTCCTATTCATCTGTGCACAACCTTCACTTCAATGGACAGCAAAAAACCCATAAAATCAGAAGTCAAATGACACATCTTTGCATATTATCAAATAATAAATTTTACTATGAAAGAATGCATTTAAATAATGCTGTTTCTCCTCATGAATTTTACTATTCAACTTATATCTAGGACTCTGAACTTAAAAGACCAGCTTTGTTGGTGAATGCAGCTGTTATGCCCTGCTGGCCAATACAAAAGGATGGCAGCTTTCTAGGGGAAAAGAAAGGATATTTGATCTGCCCAGTCAGCAAAACTAAACTGTTCCTTGAGCATAACACCAAGAATTCGGTCTTGTTTGTTATGACTTTCTCTATGTTGCACATGCTGCATTTTACAAGCAGGCTTTTAAAAGGTCCCATTTATGTCATTTGGATCCTGAAATACGTATTGAGAAACAGCATCAGCAGAACATTTTCTTCTCTTATGCAATTTGAAGAATACTGAAGGAAATTTTGGAAGTCTGAAGTTCTACTGGCTTTCTATACAATCTCCATGTAATAATTTTTTTAGACAGCCTGTTCTGGGATTAGAATATATGGGGTTTTTGACACAGTTAATTTATGTATAGCCTTCAAGTGCTTTGCATCTGGCAGAGATAAAGTTGTTAAGTGGACTTAAAGTGGTTAACAGTAATTTCAACTCTGGATCTTGTCAATTATTATCTGAAGATTACTTGGTAATCTACGTAAAATGAATTTGACTGTTTCACTTTGAACCTCAGTAAGTGTGTCTACTTTACAAAGTAAGTTGGGCTAATGTACTCAGCAGAAACTGCCACTCCACTGTCAATTTCAGCAGAAATGTTGAAGTTGGAATGTGCCTTTAGAACAAAACACAATGTTATTTCAGAAGGAAAACCAAGCAGAATGAGAGTTTCATCTGAGAAATGCTGGGGAAGATTACTATGTGCCCCACATCTCTATGCTCTGGGTAGACAAAAGACTCCAACTCCAAGTGTCTGTGCATTCAGAACTTGTTAAACCAGTATTTTGCAGTAAACTTTTAATATAATCACTCTGGCAAAGCAAGAAATATTGCATAGATGCTCTTATTAAATATGATTACCTGACATGCTGCTGGGAGTTATGGATATGTAATCATTCTTGTTCTTCTTCTGTCACCAATGTCACCTGCCAAAAAATGGAAGAAAGCCCCATGTAATACATCCATAAATGCAAACTGCAGAATACCATTAACATTTACGCAGGACGGAACATTTTGGATCTTGAATACCACAGCCGATGTTTGATGGCTTAACACAATTCACCTTGCTAAACTGCATGAGGCAATGAATGCAAATCAGGTCCAAAACCTGGTGAACCAGAGGAGCTGTGGGTAACAGGGATTTGGAAGCCAGGTCAAAAAAGCTAGTGGGTACTGATGCAGAACAAAAAATACTTCTGCCCACTTCATGGAACACTTTTTAAAAGGTTTTTTTGCAAAAGTTCCTTGAGCTCTAATAGGTAATGTGAGGAACTAATGGGTTTTACTTTACAGCAGATTTACATTAGATATCAGGAAGAAATTCTTTACCAGAACAGGTTGCCCAAAGCAGTTGTGGCTGCCCCATCCCTGTCAGAGTTCAAAGCCAGGCTTGACGAAGCTTTGAGCAACCTGGTCTAGCGGAAGGTGTCCCTGCCTGTGGTAGCGGGGTTGAAATTAGATGATTTCTAAGGTCCCTTCCAACCCAAACCATTCTGTGATTCTGTGACCCAATGATATATGCCCACTAACCTTTAAACATACTCTCAGGTTCAGTAAGAATAAAGGATTCAAAAGAATTAGAAATTCTCTGTCTACAGTTAAATCAATTTTTCAACCATTAGAAACTCAGAAGTCTATCAACTGTTACAAAGTTTTGAGCTGTAAATAGTAATTTTACTCATTTGGTAAAAAAATGATTTGTAGTTCTTATTAGTTAACTTTTGAACAACAGCATCTGTTTTATTAAGGAGATAACTGCAGTGATAAAGAACCAGATTGGGCATTCTAACATCATGGGTTTAATATTTAATATTCAGTCTGCCTACCCCATTCATATGCCCATAAATACACACTGACATATAGCTATACTCTTTTCTGTTTGGTAGCAAAGACTAAAACTCCGCAAGATAATTTTGTGTTAGGACAGAAAGTCACTGATACCAGTTTTGGCATCATGCTTTAGCACTATCTGTATTTATACCAGCCATAACATTTTTCAAGCAGAAGTATCTATCACAGGCACCCGAGTGCCCTCATTCAGCCATCCCAGCCCAAAACACAGTGCCCAGTTGGATGATCTTGGCTCGCTCCCTAGTTTAAGACCAACAACCCAATCCAAGCAGACACAATCTTAAAGGCAGCACTACAGAATAGACACAAGAGCTCATTAGATTTTTTAAATGAGAAAGCCCAGGCCTAGAACTGACCCCACTAATGCCAATGGAAAACCAGCCTGGGATCAGTCATGCTCTCCTGATCATCAGTAAACATACATCTCCTAACGCCAGTTGCAGGTGGCATTTTATAGGGGAAGCAGAATCTCTCTTAGATCGTGCTGATGAACATTTTATGTTAAGAAACAGTCCTTTGGTCTTTGCTACCAAGTTTTTGGTTTCGATTTTTCTCCCTCCATACAGTGCCATAGCCCTGTCTGTGTTTCCTCTCACAGAGTTTCCCTTGACTTGTCCTTGCAATAAATATCCCCCACCACCATCAGGCTGAGAGAACATCCCGCACATCTGCTCTGCTTAGCCACAGCCTGCACCACCAGAATGAGAAAGCAGGTGAACTGCAGCAACCGCATGTTCCGTGTAATTAATGTATCTGGGACGCAGCCTCGCAGTTTCCCCTAACCTCATCATCACCGCCACCAGCGCTTCACGAACGACGGCTCAAAGCTCGCCCGGGCGCTCGGGCACCTAGGGAGTTGCAGTAACCCGTCAAACGCTCCACAGGGCGGGGCGGAGCCCCCCTCCTCTCGCTCCATGAGCCCCTTTGCGTCCCGCTACCCCAGACAGGGTGGACGCCCCGCGCCCAGGGCAGCGCGGCTGTCCGCCCGTGAGGCTCAGCGCAGCGCGGAGCCGCGGCCTGCCCGCTCTAACACAGAGGCAGGGGGCGCGGGGGTCCCCGCTGCGCCCTGTCCGATCACAAACACCCGCCCGAACCCGCTCCCAGTCCCTCCGGCCGCCGTCGCGCAGCGCGGTGCGGTGCTGCGGCGCCCCCTGGCGGCCGCACGGGCGCAGCACGCAGAGCAGCGGCTACCGCGAGGCACAATGACGGCACCACGCACCGCTGGACACCGCTGGACACCACTGTACGCTGCCGCACAGCCCTACACGCTGCTGCACACCACTGTACACTGCTGCCCAGCGCTACACACCACTGCACACCACTGTACACTGCCACCCATCCCTGCACACTGCTGAGCACCGCTGCACACCACCGGACACTGCCGCACACTATTGTACACTGCTGCACAACCCTGCATGCTGCTGCATGCCGTTGCACACACCCCTGCATGCTGCTGTACCACACTGCTGCACATCACTGCACAACTCTGCATGCTGCTGCACACTGCTGTAGGCCGTTTTTTTACCCTGCACACCACTATATACCACTGCACACACCCCTGCACACTGTTGTATACAGCTGCACAACCCTGCACACCACTGCACAACCTTGCACACCACCCCACACTGCTGCACAATGCTGCACATCTTTGCACACCCCTGCGTGCCAAACCTGCATCTGCCATGCAGCATTGCTGGGGGGGTTCCTTCCATGCAAATCTCAACCTTCCTAATTTCTATTATCTTCTCTGTAATGTATTCCCTGTCTTTTTTTTTCAATTTTTTAATTACTTTATGCCTCATTACATTACCCAGGCATATCTGGTAATTCCTTAAACTAAATTAATTGCTACTCCAAGGTTCAGGATTGCTTTAATGAGTCAAAAATTCCCAAACAAATCACCCCCCCCCCCCCCCAAAAAAAAAAAAAAGAAAAAAGGAAAAGAAAAAGACGATAAACAAGCAAAAGGAAAAAAACCCACCCCATCATGTTTACTGTATTTGCAAAAAAAACAACTGTAAGTTTTACAGCAGGAACTGGTAAAATCTCCTCCAGCATAGTGTTAAAGTGTATTTTTATCTCCTTGTCTTTTCTTCCAGGCAAACCAGCAGAGACTACATCTATGCTGTTCTGACAAAAGACAGTATTCTCCTTAAACTCTTAAGTGAAAAGCAAATACTCTGCTTGATATTTGCCATGTACAAACAATGCAAGCAGCGGCGACAACACAAGATTTTTCTTCCACTCTCACCATCCTGTGGAACTTCATAACCCTTCACAGTCTGTCAATCACAGCATTAAAATCAGACTCTGATCCATCCCACCGTGTCATGGGACCCTATGAACCTCAACAATAAGCTGTTTCCCAGAATTTAACAGTGGTTTGGTGACTCAGTGACACACAAGTGCTCTTGAAGTAAAAAACAAAGTGTTTCAAGTAAAAATCCTGTCCCTCCTGCAAATACTCAGTTCCTAATCCCCAAATTACTGTTTTTGCACCCATCTATTAAAAAGAAGGAAAAAAAAGAAAGGAGAAATACAGAGTTCTCCAATGAATCTGTAGGAAGTGAAAAATTCTAGCTATCCTGGGACTTCTGCCATTTTCCCTGATGAGTCCAGGACTTGGCATGAAGGCAGCTGGCACTTGTGCAAAAAAACTAATTATGAAATGACTGTAGAAAAGATGGTCTTTTGTCTAAGGCACCACACTAATGCATCTGGCTTTGGCACAGTCTTCCTATGCCCCACAGTTTAAAATGGAGAGTGTGCATCAGCATCTTGCTCATCCAGCATCTCCCCTAGCTCCATTTAGCAAGTGCCAAAAGGTACATATTGTACGTGATGGTGATTTTAATAATCTTTCCAAATGTATCAGGAATGTTTTTGAGATGATGCTTTAATCTTGCCCTTTGCATGACGGAAGTAATTTCCTGTTTTTCTCTTTCTAAGGAATGTGGCACATAAATGGAAATATTGGGCGCAGAACTATTTATCTATTCTGGCACCCAAAACCTTGCCTGTTTTCCGAAGGCCTAGCACAGTTGCTACTTTACATAAGCAAAAAGAACAAGCAGTATCTACACATAATATACCAAGTTACACTTCAAGACATAGATGTGGAAAATGCTGGAGGAAATTAGATTCTTTTTCACAGTCTAAAACTCTCTGTACAACTTTTCTGTAGTCTGTAACTAAAAAGTACACTGAGGAGCACAAACTGGAATGATGTGGATGAGCCACAGGCGAGGCTCCACCACACCATGCAGAGTGTGTCTGGGAATAATGCCTGGGAGTCTTCACAGACATTGCAGAGCAAGTTTCTTTCTTGCCAAAAGTGACACAATTCTTATGGTTAAACTTTGCTGACATCACAGGGCTCCATTAGCTTTTGTCTGTGGAGTGCTCATTTGCCTACCCGAAGTCTCATGGCCCTGAACCACAAGCCCTGAGCATGCAGCACTAACTTCAGAGGTTGGTATCTACCCCACATGATCTCCATGCCAGAGAGCTCAGGTGGAAGAGCCAGCAGTGTGTTCATTCTCCATCACTGGAGTTCAACCCTGCTTCTTGTTTTGTTTTGAAAGAAAATAAAAGTAGGAACATGCTTATTCCATTCTGATAGTGAGCTCTATTTCAGATCTACAGCCATGCACCAGGAAAAGACTATTCCTATTTTGCCCCAAATAAAAGAAGACATTTTGGGGATCTTCATCTCCTCTGGCCTGAAAATGTGGTATTTGGAATTCTCAGGCTTTGGTCTCCAATATAGAACCACTGTCAAGCCATACTGCCAATTACTGCACTTACTTTCTTTTCCCATAATGAAAGACAATTAACCAATTAATATTAATCAATGTGGTTAAGTGTTCTCCCACTCTCATCCAGTGCCTCCTCATTCACACAAATGCATCAGATTAACCAACGGTTATATAAAAGAGTTGCACTGCTCAGGGCATGAGGGTGTTTTCTGCCTTACTCTCTGTCCTGTTTTGGCTGGGATATAGTAAATTTTCTCCTAGTAGCTGGTGCAGTGCTGTGTTTTGGATTTAGTGTGAGAATAATGTTGATAACACAC